TAAAAGGGCTCATACCCTAAGATCAACAAGTCCATTTCTCGGTACTTACTCTAGATAAACATTTGCATATTATGTACCAAAATAAGCAAATAAATAAATAAAATAAGTACTACAGAATTATCTGTGGCTGCACAAAAGAGGAAAGCCTGTAGAAGTCAAAAATAAGGGGATGAATAAGTTGTAGTGCACACATATTAAGAACTAAGTTTCAAACATTAAAAGGTATTAATCATGTGCATATATATATCAACATGTATATACATTCAAAATATTGCAATTGATAAAATATGTATATATGTAATATACATATATATTCATTTTTACTGAATAGTTCTAAAGCTGTTTAAGGCCTTTACATGCATGAAGTCGTTGAATTTTCAGAACTACTCTGTGAGGCAGACACTGTCATTATTCCCATTTTACAGGTGAGGAACTGAAGCCCAGGTCCTCAAACAGCTCTCTCAAAGCCACAGCCTATGCCCCTGTCCCCCAACCCCAGTCCATGATTTTGACTGCTCTCTGGGGCTGACTCAAAGAGGTCGCAGAACAATGTGCACAGCATGACACCTGAAATGTCAACTGATGTTTTAAAGGACAGGGTGGAGCTACACTAAACCCATATAAATGTTTCCTTAGCCAGGAAGTTTGTAAGAGGGCCAGGATTGAGGGAAGAGAGGAAAGGAAAATAGCTTCATCTTTAATGTACTAACTTTTCATCCTAAGAAATAATGTGCTCATTTGTGATTTTTTTAATCCATAATTATGCAACAAAAAAATGAAAGCGAATATATCAAAATGCTAAAAGTGGATGATAGTGACTAGTGAGAATCTGAGTAGTTTTCTTAGACTTCGATGCATTTTTCAGTTTGAAAGAAAGAAATATCTGGAGACAGAACACAAGAAAAAGAGAATGGAGTCAGGATATTTGCATTATTTAAACATTCCAAAGATGATTCATATGTTCAAGGACAGCCGTGGGCAGGCTGTGGGGTATAGTGCAGAGATCATGGGCTTTGGCACCTGATATTCGGGGTTCAAACTCATCTTCACTGTGCATCAGCTGTGTGATCTCGAGCAAGTTACACAACCTCTCAGAACCTCAGTTCCTTCATCCAGAAAACAAGAACACTGCAAGTTCAATAAGGATCAGATCAAGAATCTTATGTGCCTGACATCGTATAATGTTGTTCCACAAATAGTAAAACTGGATTCTCTCCTTTAACTCAGTAATTCGAATGATCATAATTTTTCAATTTTTGTCTTTTTACTTATACATAGTAGACTCTATTTTGACATATTTACACAAGCATAGAATATATCTTATTCTAATTAGGATACCACTCTTGTGGTATCACAGTCAATATTTTGAGATTCACTGTGGTGTATTCATATATGTACATCTAATTTAACTCTGATTTTGCCAGGCTGTTAAAAAGGTATCAGAGTAATGCTGCCCTAGACAATTTCTTGAGTAACTGCTGAATTGCATTTTTTTGAAAAAAAAAATATACATACACCACACACACACACACACACACTAACAACTGTTCACTCACCAACCAGTACAGTGTCCTGCTTCCTCCTCTGTACAATGGGTATAGAAATACCACTCAATGATTTGGACAGTTGAGATTCTGGATAATGCATCAAAGAATTCTCCCAGAGCACACATGCGCCCGCAACCCTCCTGGGTGCATTCCATCCAGTTCTAGTAACTTAATTACTTGCAGTTTGTTTATTAGATTGTAAACATCCTGCTCATTTACTATTATTTAATCTATTAACTCTGACTTTAGCCCGAGGGGCAACCTCTGGAAGAGAAAATGTGATTAACTATCGAACACAAAAGTTGCCCAGAAGGAAGACTTTGCCACTCAGAAAAACATGATTTCTTCTTGACAGATCTTGCTTGCTGTGGTTTAGCCATACATCCTCCATTCATTTGGATAACCAGGTTTGATTTTTTTCAAGAGGTTTCATTTTTTTTAGAACAATTTTCAGTGGACAACAAAATGACATTGTATTTATACAACATGTCAGTGTTGCTCAGTGTTAGAGCATGCGCAAGGTCTTGGGTTCCATATCTAGCATTAAAAAACTAAAAGAAAGAATAGTACAGAGAGTTTCCACATACCCTGGCCCCAGTGTCTCTCATTATGAACATCTTACGTTAATGCAGAGCATGTGTTATTATTAAGGCATTGATGCCACAATGCATTATGGTAAACTAAAGGCCATGCTTAATCCATATTTCTTGAGTTTGCGTCTAACTAACGTCCTTGTCCATCTGAGGAGCTCATTCAAGATGCCACAGACATTTCCTCTTCAAGTCTATTTAGGATTCTCTTGGACAGCTTTTTAGACATTCCTGGTTTTTAATGACCTTGACACTTTGAGGAATAGTAACCAGATAATTTCTATAATGCTCTTCCATCAGGGTTTATCTGATGTTTTCCTTGTGGTTGGACAGGATTCTGGATTTGGGGTTGGAAGCGCTCAGGGATGAAGAGCCACTTTTACCACATATTCTTTGATCTTTTTTAACATTAAGAAAAGCTTTGTTTTAATATTAGGTTTCTTTTTGACAATATCTATCTACTTTGGTCAAAGTGTGGTAAGGAAGTCTGCACTTGAGGAGTAGGAGCAACCACTTAAATTATTCAGAATTCCTCTGTGTAAGAAATCTGTGTGTTCTCTGCCTGTTTACATACTCATCACTGATATTTAATATCACTAGCAAATTCAGGGTAAAAATTGACTGGCTCAGGAATACTCCTTCAAATCCATGGTAAAAGAGTGAAGATTCTAATTTCCTTTGCTCGTATTTAAATCTAGTTTGATTCTTAATTGAACAATTAGTGTCTATAAAATCTTGGTCGGCTGATGATATAATCACATCCTCCCCTTGAAGAAACCATCCTGAGGGTCAGACAGAAATGTATACACTGAGAGGCGAATCAGTTCTACAGTGAAAGGTCAAAGTGTTTGGAAACACAGAGAAGACAGCAAGTTGTTCAAGGATGCTGGAAATGGGAGGTCTAGGTCTGAGACAAGGAGTGTCTCCTGGGTACAGAAAATCTGCATTTCCACAGAGCTCACTCTTGGGGTCTAAGGTGCCCACGAGTCCTCTTGAAATTCTTAACTACGTGTGTCTTTGAATTTCTGTGTGGTCAGCCAAGTCGGAGGGGACAGCCAAGCACGCACCAGGTGTGTGGAGTCCCAGCTCACCTGTAACCCTGCCTCTGTCCCCTCCCTACTTCCCAGCAGGGAGTATAGGGGACTTGTTCCTAGCTCTCTGTACCAAGGGCCCCACCCAGGCTCACCACATCACCATAGTCGTGACCAGGTGGCAAGAGGTGGAGAGGGACAGGCACATTCCTCTGTCACCCTCCCCGCTCATAGATTTGGCAGGTGGTTGGTGCATGATTTGGTCCAATGTGAATCTCTTTTCCAGGGCTTCAATCTCTTGGGGGGTCACCGTCACTGTGAGGTGGTAACAGCAGGCCCAGAAGAGGGGAGATGGGCTTTCTCACCAGTAATAGGAGCTTGGCTGTCAGTCCAGCAGCTGAGGGGCCACAATGCCCAGGAAAGGTGAAGACAACTAAATAACAAAAGCCACCGAGACAGCACAAGAGAGAGATTGCAGAAGAAATGGAACAGTTTTATGTTTTGGTTTTCTTGACGGCACTTTTCTTCAGTTTTCTTAAAGTGCCTTTTCATGTCTGTGGTATATAATAAAGCCAGTCTTGTCTGGGGCAGTACTGAATACCAGTTAAGGGAGTAGGTCTTAGAGTCGGAATGCCTGGGTTCCAATAATATCTCCAGGATCTGTGTGACCTTGGGCAAGTTACTTGACCTCTCTGAACTTCAGTTCTTTTCCCTGAAATATAGAGAAAGAAATAGCCCCTACCTCATGCTATAAAAATAAGATTGAATGAGATCATGTCTGTAGAGCTGACATCACTGAGAGACATTCCCACACTCTACCCCAGCTCCACAGCTACTCAGACCTGCTGGATCTTAAAGAAGGCAGCTTTTCCTTACAACTTCTGTGTAGCCCCCACACTTCACCAAGCACTGAGAAATCCATAGGTTTCCATGCGATGTCTCATTCTACCCAGCCAGATACTCGAAGGATTTGTTGAATGTGTGATCAAACCAATGTGTCAATCAGCTGAGAGGTCAGATAAAAATGGGTACAAAGCAATGTATCCTCAGGTAGAAAAAGTCCCAGCTAAAACATTGGCAAAATATTTGGGAGGAATCTGGGTTAGGAAGACATGCCCAGCAAAAGCTCAAATCAGCATTTCCTAAATTCTGTTCCAACATGTTAATATATGTCCTAAAAAGTAAGAGTCCACAGTGATAAGCTTGGAAAACAGTACACACGTTTCCCATTTAAACTAACGTGATATGCTTTAGCATTTTATAGACTCTAAAATTCCTACAGTAAAGAAATCAGATAAAATGATACAACCCCAAGTTTTCCAAGCACATTGATCATGAAACCCCCTTTAATCATAAGACCTCTACTACCAGTATTTTCAAGAACATCAACTGTTTTCAAGAACAGAATTTGGATTTAAGCTGTTTGAGGAAGGGATGGTGTCTTACTGTTATCTTCTGCCTAAACGTACAAGATAATCAAAATTAATTTAGAGAATAAAAGAACAAATGGTTCTTCATTTCATTTTTGGCTGGTCTTTAGTTACAATCCTATATAACATTTATATAACATGCATCTAGGCATTTTACAAAACACAGAATCCCAGTTGAAAACGACAAGTCACATACTGTCAGCACCATACTATGAATATTTAAACTAAAAAGCTCAGAGATTGTGTGACTTAACAAGAGTTGTACAGCTGGTTAATGTAAGGGCCTGAGCTAAAAATCGAGCCTTCAATTCTATATCCTATTTTTTTCAATGCATATAATTATAAAATTCCTCAAAAGTTTGCTATGCCATTATTCAAGACAAAAATGAAGAGAGCACTTACCTCAAATAAGCGCAAGACTTTGGCCAGTGCACCAACTTCTTCTTTGAGCGAGAAAATCAGTGATATGGAGCCATTTTGAATGGAGTTGTCTTCAATGTAGCTTGTTTCCTACAGAATCAGATGCACTTGGTTAAAGTGTTTTTCATCACTTAGCAATTCATTCCCATGAAACCAAATAGGAATACAATGTTCTTGTATTTTTTGTTAAGCCTTGGAATACAATGAGCTTCATGTATTCTAAACAGAAATATGTGGTGGTGTAGAAAATAAATAAATAAAGGGCAATGGAATGGTCAATGATACTCCCAGGTCATCTTTCAATTTTAAGAAGTTTCCTTTATTCATGACATCACCAAGAATCGATGTCTTTTAATGAGCACTACTAAATGTCAGGCATGATTTACTTTGTATCTTTTGGAGAGATGCAAAGATGAATAAAGTGTTTCCACCTTTTAGGAGCTACAATCTGACTATAAGCCACTCAAAGTAAATCAAAAGATCCTCAGAGGTGATCAAATATGGTTCAAAAAGTATCCCAGGAAAGCATTGAGAAATAGATTGGAAAGTGCTAAAAATAGAACACTGGCAGGCTTTCGAGTCCATGACCTGGTTTGGAACCCTCTCTTTTTTATTTATCAGCTGTAGTGATTTGCATGCAAATCACTTAGCCTTCTTAGTTTCCTTGCCTATAAATGCATTTTATTGATAAGGCCTAACCAATCACTATTCAGATGATATAAAAAGAAGAAGTTTCAATAGAATATTAAGAGAAGTATATGAAAACCATGGAAATATCATAAAGTACACATGAATGACCTCTCAGCCTTTGGCAGGGAAAAAAAAAAAACTCAGCATGAATTTGTTGCCACGTACTGGGATCTGAGGTGTCCGATTGCTGAAATAGAATTGCAAACTACACAAATAACCTATCAGAAGATGGATGCCTTTCACGAACTAGTGAAGAATGTGTCAGGGATCTAGCACATACTCTATGCGTGTGACATGCACACCGAGATGGGATTAGAGTTGACAGTCCGTGAGTTTGCCAACGGAGTTCCTGGAGTTTTTAAAAATCATATGTAAAATTCTGAGTGTGCCCATAAACAGGCAGCATGTTCCCCCAAAACAGGAAGGAGAAAAATGTGCAGAACAATTACTCTCTTGTAAGCAAGTTAATGAGGTTAATGGGGCGGGTGTTACATCATCTCAGTGACAGAAAGCTACACTGGGCAGATTCTTATCAGTGTCTCTGGATAATAGCCCTACATGAATACTGATGACCCTTAGGACAGAATTCTTTGGATTCAGAGAATTCAGAGTTTCCCAGAAGTTCACATGAAACAGGAGTATGGGGAATTTATCAGCAAGTAGGACTATAGGGTGGTTCAAATAAAAGACTGGACATATCCCTGTTTGGACCAGATGTTATCTTTCTTAAAAATTTTTAATCTGTCATTAATAATTTTTTTAAAAAATTATAAGCAAATAGCAGAACCATCAGTAGATTGGAGGGAAAGGTACAGGGGAGGGGGGAGGGGAGGAAGAGGAGGACGTATTGAGGAATGAATTAGAACAAATTATATTCCATGTTTTTGTAAATGAATTCTATTGTCATGTATAACTAAAAAAAAAAAAGTAGAAAGAATCTGTAGTGTCCTGGGTATTGTAAGCACTTGATTTGGAAAAACATCTATGACTAGGTTTGATTACGTACCAAGTCCCCCCTTCAACTGTAGAGGGTAAGGAACTGGCCCATGGTGTGGCAGTTAGCCGGGGGAGCTAGGATCTGAACCTAGGAGACTTGATCCCTGTGTACTGTGCAAGGTCACAACCTGCTGCAGACTCTTACCTCCCACTTTGAAACCCTGCCAGGGGCCAGGTGAAATGGCACATGCCTGTAATCCCAGCAGTTTGGAGGCTGAGGCAGGAGGATCGTGAGTTCAAAGCCAGCCTCAGCAATTTAACGAGGCCCTATACAACTTAGCAAAACCCAATCTCAAAATAAAAAGGGCTGTAGATATAGCTCAGTGGTTGAGCACCCCTGGCTTCAGTCCCTGAAACCAAAACAATAAAAATCAATAAACCCTCCCAGGGATGTGCCCATGAGTCTGATTTCAGTCTCCTTCCTACAGAGAGCATTGAGCCCTTAATCCTTTCCAGTTTCCTTCAAATAACAAAGGGTTTCCCTGTTTCTAATTCACTTGGCAACTTTCTTTCTCCTGTTGACCTCCAAGAAAAGTAGGATATTCCTGATATGCCTCCACAGATCTCCATTCCACGAAGGCAGTGAAGTCTTAGATGTCCCTGTGGGTGAAGTTCAGCTACCCATCTCCCACCCCACTCTCACGTGTATCCAGCCAATCAAGTTCACTGCAGTCTTCTCCAGCAACAACCTTAGAAGTTAGTCTCTTTTTCTGTTCCCACAGACATCATGTGAATCCTGCTCTCTGTGGTCTATCTGCATTGATCCTGCTCCAACAGAATTTTGCCCATGAACTTCTGTGTTTTCAAAACCATTCCCAGTGATTTTTAATAATGGAAAACCTCAAAACCATGGATAAATACATAGTCCGTTTTTAAATTATGACTTTTCTCAAATGTGTCTGCAAATGTGCATTTACCATATGATAGGGTGCTACTCTGTCATTATTAGTATCAATGCTCAGTACCTGTCCCTGACTGGGTACCCCCTTTTTGCCAGGAACCCTACTGAGTACTTTTTTCACAGATAATTTGCATCATCGTTGGTAGCAGGTAGCACTGTTCAAAGGGTTTGAATGTCAGGGCTCAGTGAGTCCTGAAGTAGGAACAATATTTTGCAAATGAAGAAGAGGCTCAGCAGGAACATCCAGCTAAAGAGCAGCAAGGCTAGACTTGAACCCAAGTCCAGCAACCTCAATGCCCTTATTCTGCCTCCCAGTGGCAGACTCTGAAATGGCACAATAGCTTCCTCTCTGTAAAGTGTGAGGTGTGTGTGTGTGTTTGTGTGTGTGTGTGAGAGAGAGAGAGAGAGAGAGAGAGAGAGAGAGAGAGAGAGAGAGACTCTACCTCTGAGCTACATCCCTAGCCCTTTATTAATTTTATTTTGAGACAAATTCTCACTAAGTGTGGAGGCTGACCTTGAACTTGTGATCCTTCTGGCTCAACCTCCTGAGTCACTGGGATTATAGGCAAATGCCACCACATCTGGCAGAGGAGGGACTTTAAGTGAAAGGAAGCTCCTAGTAGTTTGTGAAATGGTGTGGCCTTCAATAAATTTGGAGTCTGGATTCTGATACTGCTGTTCTGCTCCAGGCAATCAGGGACCCTTGATCAAAACTCTTTTGTAGTAGACTTTTATTGGCTTATAAACTATACCTTATTTGTTTCCAACAAACATGTGCGTGGACTTATCCAAACTTGTGCTCGGGATAAATAAAAGACTGAGTAAATCAGTTCCAAAGTTACATAGGAAGAAACAGAGCCAGGGGAGAGAATTTTACCAGGAACCAGGATGCAAAGAATTTTGATCATTGAGAAATACAATAGTCACAGAAAGTTCAACAATAGACACAGTATGTTCTTTTTGGTTGTGTATATCAAATGCGTTCTATTACCTTTGGAAAAGGGCTGATTTCGAATTTATAAGCAATCCACTTTGGCAAGGGTGTTCTGGGGATCCTAACTTTTTAAGGTTAGTGCTTTGGGGGGTTGTGGAGGAGGTTTGTATTTGCAGGTGTGATCAAAGAGAGAGAAAGAGATCTATACTATAATACTACTGAAAACAAGATACTGATCTTCTGTCTCAGTGTTATCTCCGTTGTATGGTATGAGTACAGCATATTTCTATATTCTAGCATTTACCTACAAGGGAAACATTATAGTGAAGAAATGTGCAGTTTGGGGAGTCAGAACTAGGTGGTTTTCTTCTTCTTTTTTTTTTTTTTGCCATTCATTGATGTGATTTCTGTGTTGTTCACCTTCTATCCTATTGATCTGATCCATTTTTCTTCACTGCATTCATCTCTATATGACAGCATATGTTCATTTTGTTAATTTGTTATTGTTTATCTCCTACACTAAGATAAAATTTTTGCCAGATAAAAAAAACCACTGTGCCTGGGAAAAGCAGGTGCTCAATGAGTCTTGGTTGTGTGGATGATTGTTGTGCTGATTGCATGAATAAGGCCCTGATTTACTATATGCCCCAGGAAAATGGCTCCTTCACCATTCAGCCTTATGTCTCATAGGGATGTCTAGTGTGTGCTGCTTATCTGAGTTGGGAATTTTAAGAAGGCATAAACTCTGTCTCTTTAGAAGACTGTCAGAGATGGAGGGAGTCCTATAGAATAATCTAGTCCAACACTTCCCACCTTGATCTTACACATACCCAACTGAGTCTCCTCATCTCAGCCAAGTGACTTCCCAAGGCAGCTTAAGTAGGTCAAGGATGAAAACCCAGGTCTCCCCACTGCACTTCCAGCATGCCCCTCCTGGGCTTCACTAGGCCTGGTGCCTGACCTGCTATCTCTCCTTCCTGCCAATATCCGAGCTGCATTTTATTGAAAAAACAAATTGGGTCTGGTGCACACATTCTCACTTTCGAGTGCTCCAGAAACTATACTAAGAGATTTATAAGCATTATTTTATTTAATTCTCATATAACATTAAGATGTATTTTTATTCCTAGTTTACAAATGAATCAACCTGAGACTCTGCAAAGTAAAATATCCTGCTTCTGATGCAGAGGTTGCACCAGAGCACACTTGGAACCCTCCTCTTTACTAGTGCCCCTGTTATTGGTGGTGATAACTGGTGTGTCCTCACCTCAGTGCTCAGATGGCTGCCCTAACTCCCTCCCAGGGCTATAGGGTCCCCACCTCCAGCCACACAGAAACAAAATGGAGGACAGGTCAGTTCTAGGACCTGCCTGCACCACGCACCACCCCTCTTCAACACTAAGTTCTTCTGACTCTGGTAGACGGTACACCATTTTCAGAGGTGATCTATCTCCTGGGATCCAAAAGGAGCCAGCCCAAATTTCAGGAGTCTCTCCAGTTATATTAACTTAAACATCAATCCTCCTCTCCTCTCCTACCTCTTTGCTCTCTGTGATAATCCTCCCTGTCACAGTCTCAGATCCCCTCTGGGATCTGCTCTCGAGTCCTGGAGTAAGATTTCCTGCCTGTCAAATTATAGAATGCATTCTGCACCTGTTCACCTCGAGAGAATGACAGCCTCCTGAAGAATGCCACCCTCCCTGGCAGCATCCCTAGTCACATTTAGGATTCTATTACTGTCTGTGCTGACTCTTGTTCCATCTCCTCTCTGCTTAATTTGTCTCTCCCCAGATCTGAGCAAGTCTCCAGATCCTCTTTGTTAGGTGCAGGACAGGCTGAGTAAGCTGTCTGCAGGGCATGCCAAACAAAGTTAGCTGCAGGATGACCTGGCTTCTCTAACCCTCCGTCTGGTTCTTTATCACCTGTTTGCTTCAAGCTCAAACGCCCAATCCCCGGCTCAAGGCTGAACACGTAGCCCGCCACTCAAGGCCGAGCACTTAACCCCCTTTTGTGCCAACAAGGCAGCTTGCAGACCCAGACCCTGTTAGATTTAGGCAGCACAGCAGAAGGGCTATAAAAGCCTTCCCCAGCTGCCCCCCCACACACACACACTTCTTTCCTTCTTTCTTTTCTCCTCTGTTGCACTGCTGCAATAAAGATCTCTTGGTTGCTCCGAGTGTTGTGGTCACTTTCCTTTCACTCTTCATGTCCCATCTGCACCCCAAAGTGAAAGGAATTCTTACAATTTGTCCATTTCCATAAGTGACAGGGAGTCCATTATAAACATCATAGAAGAGATCTAGAAGGACCCTCTACCCCACCCAGGTCATTAAGGACCAGCCCTTTCGGTATACAGAAGAGAAAGCAAGAAACAGAAAGGTTCTAATGACACACAGCGGGTTGGTGGCAGTGCTGAAAGTCAGATCCCCAACCCTTGAAGCAATGCTTTCTTCCCCTGAAGACCACCCAGGACAGATATGCTTCCATTTGGAAATAATTATTGAGGACAATCTTTATATATTGACTTCCTAAACATTCCCAACATCTTCAAATGAATTCAGAGATCTTGGTGAGCTTCTGAAACTGGGAAAAACCAGAAATTTTCCAGATCTGTTTAGGATCCAAATTTCCCTACCAGAGTAGCTGAGGCCCCTTCTGGCTCACCTGTCCAAAGTCGGAGAATTTTCTGCCCATGCCTCGCGTCTCCAGGACCACAGCCGACATGCTGGCTCCCCCGGGAAGTGAGGTCTGTGAGTCTGGGCTGCAGTGGCAGGTAGGTTTGCAACCTGAACAAACGTGGAGCGAAGGGTTTTAACCTACATCAGGGAGGAGACCAGGTTCCAAAGGGTGCCTCCTGCTGCGCAACAAGCAGGGTGACACCCCTCTGGTGGGCGTTGTCCTGACGCAGAGAGGGAGAGCCGCCCACCTCCTGCTCCAGGTCACCTGCTCTGGGCAGCCAGGAGGGGAGGACTCCAGGAGGGTGTGGCAGACACTTGGCACTGGGCAACCTGCCCTGAAGGGAGGAAAGAAGTCAGAAAGTGCAGGGTCATCGGTGTCCTGGTGATTAGACAGGTTTGACACTTCTGGGACTCTCAGAATCCTGGAGGGCAGGTTCTGTACAATTAGAATTAAACCTGAGAGAGCTTGCTGATAACAAGCATGTGCACAATTCCCCCTCCCGCAATCAAGCAGAGCCAGGACTCTAATTTAGATTTTCTTTTTGGTCCCTTTTATTAACCACTGAGTGAATGGCTTTGCTGTGATTTGTCTTTAGAGAAGCACACGTGGATGACATTACTAACACTGAGCACAGGAGCCACCGACCAAAGGTAAGAGCCACCTAGACTAAAATCCACCCATGTGTTCTTCAGCTACCTGTGTAACTGCTGGGGGCTCTGAAGGGAGAATTGTAGCAGCACCTTGCTGGAATATTCATGAATAACAGGGAGAAGGGGTGTATTCAACATTTAGTAGCCACTTGCCACCTAATTCAACATTCAGTAAGTGCAAGATAATATTTAAAAGTATGTCCACTGTGTGTATATATACCACATTTTTTAACCATTCATCTACTGACAGGCACCTGGGTCCATAATATGACTTTTGTGAAATATAACCATTGATATGGCCCTATCACAGTAGTATGCTGATTTTATTTCTTTGGGATAATTACCAAGGAGTGGGATGACTGGGTCATGTGGTGGTTCTATTCCTAGTTTTTCTTGAGATCTCCATATGGCTTTCAAGAGTGGTTGTACTAATTTGCAGTCCCACCCACAACGTATGAGTGTGCCTTCCCCCCCACACACATCCTGGCCAGCCTTTATTATTATTTGTATCCTTCCTAATTACCATGTCATAGAGAATGAAATCATGGCATTTGCCAGTAAATGGATGGAAATGGAGAATATCATGCTAAGTGAAATAAGCCAGACTCAGAATGTTTTCTTTCATATGCAGAAGCAAAAGCAAAGTAAAGGGGGAAAAGGGGGAGAGGATTGCATATCATAAAGACAGAGAGAAGATCCGTGGAGGAGAGGAAGGAGATTGACTGGGAGGGAGGAGGGACAGGAAAGGGAGGAAATGCTAAATGAATTTGACCAAATTCTACTATGTGCATGTATAAATATACCACAGTGAATTCCACCTTTATGTACCTCTATAAAGCACCGATTAAAAATAAGTAGATAAATAAACAGAAGGAAGACCAGTAAAGTAGAGGAAGGGGAGTGGAGGAAGGGAGGAAGAGAGGGAAAGAGGAGGCACCGGGAACTGAAATGGAGCACATGAAATTCCATACCTGTTCGGTTATGTCAAAATGAACCCAATCCCTTATCCATAACTAGAAGGCACTAATAAAAGCAATTAAATTAAGGAAAAATAGGTGGGGAAAATCATGAATGAGATCCCTTTTTTAGGGGGGCTGGGGTTGTGGCTGGAGGCACTGGATAAGATTCTCAGCACCACATAAAAATACAAATAAATTAAATAAAGATTTTTTTTAAAAAAAGAGATCCCTTTTAAAAAATGCCCACATAATTTGACAATGAATAGCCACTGAGGACATGTGCTGTGTACCAGGTGGTGTTCTAGGCATTGGGAGCAGAACAGGTGACCTGCCATCGTGCCGTTCTGGTGGGCAGACAGGAAATGAGCAGGTTCAGGCAAGGCTGTCTTCTGAAGGAAGTAAATGAGGGGGTGGGTGAGCAGTGTGAGCAGTTGGGTGTTGGGGAATGGTCTTCAAATAGGCAGGAAGATGTCACTAATCCCATTCCTTCAGATGAGGAAACTGAGGGGAGTTATTGGTTGCCAACAGAAATTAAAAAACAAAAACAAAATATGAAAAAAAAATGCTGAAAAGGCAGAGTTTCAGGAAAGATATGAAAGATCAGATCACCAAGCCCCTGGGTACCTGCTTAATATTTACCCTGGTGAGGTTAATGGCTTGTGAGAAAACAGGCCAATAATCGAGGTGGCTAGAAGTCCACCCTCTCCCCTCCCACAATTCAAACATTTGCCAAAAAAAGAAACAAAACATTTCCCAAGGTTGGGATTCAAAACAAGTGGGTGAGTTCCTGGCCCTACCACTGAATAGCTGTATGGCTTTGATCAAATCCATGCTTTACTTTCTTTGTCTTAAAAAAGGCAATTTTAAGGGCTGTGGGTTAGGATTCCTTGAGCCTCCACCACGTGCCAGGCTTTCTACTGGCTGCTAAGAATAACACATAAGAAGTATCGTGTCTGTCCCAAACGAGCCATTGCATGTCCAATTAGTATTCCCTGGGGTAGGTCGGAAGCTCAATGTTGAACATGGAAGGAAGGCCAAGACCTTGACTTCCACAATCAGGAGAATCTGTATCCTTTTTCTGACTTCAGTATTTATTCTAGTTTAGTATGGTTTGCCTGAGCTCTGTCCAGGACTGCCTTTACAAGCCCCATGTCATGACTTAGTGTGGTTGATGTACAAGGGGAGCAAAGACTGACAGCACCTGCACTCTAGCTACATAGAGTAAACAAAAGCAAACAGTGATGGCCACTTATGGGTCTGCACAGTGCATATTAGACACTGTGCCAAGCTCTCTACATGCATGATTTCTTTCCCTCAGCAGTCCTATGAACTATGCATCCTCTTGGATCAGGGAAGACAGGCCCAGGAAGTTTAAATCAATAGTCCAAATGCAAACAATGTTGGACCCGACTCCAAGTCCCTGGTTCGTAAATGCTCTTTCTTTTTTTGAAATGGGGACCCTGTGGCTTTAGGAGAACAAAATGGTAGCCATTCTCTTTCCCCTGTACACCTGCTAAAAATGGAGTTCTTACTCACATAAAGACACCCAAGGTCTGGATTGAGAGGAGGACACACTTAATTGCTATCTCAAAGAAAAAAAAAACAGAAGTAGTTTTCTCAATCTCATCTGCATAAATAAAAATTATTCTGATGAAAAGAGAGAATTTATTTATGGACCACAGCAAAAACTCAATATGAGATTGCTCACGACATAAACTTTGAAGAGGACTCAATGGGACACAGTGTGTTACTGTAGCTAACAAGGGGGATGCTGGATACCCAGGGAACCGAGGTGGAAGCACCAATCCAGAAGGAATGTCCATGTTGACATTCCTAGATTTTCAGTCTCTCCACCACTGAGATCCTGTTCATGGCTGGGCAGATGTGGGCACCATGTCACCAGATGAGCAGTTGTGTACCTGTCAATCTTGATGATGACCTTCGCTGATTTGAAAGCTGAAGATTTCCCAATTGTTGCTGGGTTACCATCTCCTTTTTATGTAACCTCACACGCAGGGCAACAAGTTAACCATGATCCATGAGGTCGTGGCACACAATCAAAACATACAAGACTCTTCATTTGTTTTACTTATTCATTCTCTTTGATCTTGACTCCCCATTCCCATTGCCTTTCCCCCACATGAATGTGTTTAATAGTGTATGTTTATAATAAAATGTTGACACACCTGTGTATTTTTTATTGCTATGTAATGTTACACTGGATTTATTAGAGTGAGGGTACAGATATACTATAGATTTCATAGCTTCTAACATTCTTCTTTCCTCTGTATTCTTAGGATCTAGTCTTGCTTAGATCCAATTCTTGCTTGGTTATTTGTTTATTGGGGGGCAGATTGTTCCTCCATGTGAATCCACCCTATTTGACTTCTCTATTCTCCAAGATGGACACCTAAATTGTCTACCCCAGAAAACACTGAGATAAACATTTTCATCCTTGCCCTCTTCTAGACCTGGGAGAGAATCACACTCCCCTCATTTCACTAAGTGCTGCCAGTTTGTCCCTCAGATCATACCAGTCCACACTCCCACCAGCAGGTCCAAGGGCTCCTGTTATTGAGTGCCCCTACTCCTTAGCTTTCTCCAAAACTGAGACTTTTTTCTCAATCTCATCTGCATAAAGACGTGTCTCTTTGCAATTTTTAATTTGCACTTCTCACATAATTAATGAATTTAAGCATCTCTTTTGATATTTAGGCCTCCTGGATTTCTCATGCTGTGAATCACCGGATCATCATATCTTTGCTTATTTTCTACAGGGATTTCTGTCTTTTATTGTTGGTTTGCAGAAGTCATTTGTACAGTGTGGATATGAACCTGTGCCTCCGGCAGTAACTGAAAATGTTACCTTCCCATAAATCACAGTTAGTTAACTATCAATTGGGTGTCCCTTGGGGGAAAGAGTAGCAAAAGTAGGAGATTGCATTGCAAATTATTTAGCTATTATTGGCCTATTCATGTTTTCTATTTCTTCTCATTTTATATTTTTACAGAAATTAATTCAGTCTGTCAAAGTCTCAACAAAATGAACATATTACTATTCTTAGCATTATTTTCTTAATTTTAAAGCTGTATTGTGCACATTTATCTTTCTTTTTTATTCTGTATTTCGTTTATTTGAACCTTCTCTCTTCTTGCCAGATGTCAATCTGGCAATCTCCATTAAAAATCGGCATTTCATGAAACTTCCCTGATGCTTGTGCTATGTTCTCTTTTCTCAATTTCTCTACGCTTGTTCTTATTATTTCCCTGCTTGAGTTTGCCTTGTTGGTCTCTTCCCAGTTTCTTGGGTTGAACACTTAACTCACTTGTCTTCAACATCTGTTTCCTGATAAATGTATTTAAAATGCAATATTTCTAAGCACTATTGTAGCTATGTCTCCGGTATTTGATAATTGATTATTCTAATTAATGTTCAGTTTTAAGTTTTGAGTATACTTTTCTCAATAACCCAAGGGTTTTAAGGAGCATCTTATTTAATTCAAAGCACTTGGGATACTTTTAGTTTTCCTTTTTGATCTCTAACTGGGTTCTACCAATTTATTGTCTACCATCAACATGCAGGTCCTCTCCCCTCTGCCTACCACAATGCAATTCAAGATGAGGTTGTATATGTCACTGCTGACCAGTGTCAATAAGTTCAGATTCACGAAGACCAGACATCACTTGAGTAAATCAAAGAAGGCTGCTGAGTCAGTATTCACAGCAAAAAGGTCATCAGCATTATCTAGCACAAGCAGAGGGTTAAGTTTCTGCCTGTGATCTTCACTAGGGAGTTTCTACCTGAGCACCATGTGAGTAAATGAGAAAATAAGTAGACCAGAGGGAAGCTTTGCACCTGCTGCCTAGCCAGCCTGATGAACACGGAGTCAAAGTTGTTCTGAACAGTCCTGCCTAGACCCAGCACAACTGCACAAGTACAGCACATTAATCTTGGTCACTCATCACAAGTTCTTTTTTTTTTGTAAGAGAGAGAGAGAGAGAGAATTTTAATATTTATTTTTTAGTTTTCGGCAGACACAACATCTTTGTTTGTATGTGGTGCTGAGGATCGAACTCGGGCTGCACGCATGCCAGGCGAGCATGCTACCACTTGAGCCACATCCCCAGCCCTCATCACAATCTCTTAAGGATGGAATATATCTGTGTATCCTCAGACTCCTCATCATATTCAGCCTCCCCAGGCTGAGTGTTGTTAACCACTTATGCCAAGAATATTTGTGAATTTACTTCTCTAGACCCACAAGAAACAAACATTAGCCGTTCACACGTGTGGTCTTTAAGCCGTACATGAGATTTTACTGAATTTTTAAACTAGACAGAAAAAAAAAACTCAATATAGTTGAACTCATAATATCTCTTATTTTTGAGCAATATTTTCACACAGTTAACAAGTAATTTTTTTTCAAGAGGCAGAGGCAGGAAGATCACAATTTCAAAGCCAGCCTTAGCAACTTAGCAAGGCCCTAACAACTTAGTGAGACCCTGCCTCCAAATAGAAAATAAAAAGGGCTGAGGATGTGGCTCAGTGGTAAAACACCCCTGGGTTCCATCCCTGGCACCGACAAAAAAGTGATTTCTATTTACTTTCCTGTGAACTGTCTGCACCTTGGGTTATGTCCTTGCCCTTTGCTTTTGCAGTCTCCAGGCAGAACAGAGGCCAGGGCATCATCCCTAACCACCACCCACCCCCACCACCAGACGTGCTGAGCTGTGCAACATACAGATTCTTCATGGGGACATTGATAGCTGTAACCTGGTATTGGCATCTTCTGTTACCAAAAAAAAAAAAAAAAAAAAGTACAAATTCTGATTATTTCTCTAATGGAACATTTTATGTGTGCCTCTGGAGGCTTTAAAACATGCTTCCAAGGCCCAGGTGATGTTCCCTGAACGAGAAAGATACTCTACCTTTTCAAGGACACAGACACAGGCAGTAGACTTGGAAGCCGGAGACAAGTTTCTCCTGCTGTGAGTTTCCTGATAGTATAATAAAGATAGAAAACATCTCCATCCTTGAAGATGTTCCATGATGAGAAATCCATCCAACTGTGCTTTCAATCCAGAGTAAAAATGATGCCTGTCTTTGGAAAGGGTGGTGGAGAAGTTGCTATCAGCCCCTATTTAAGATCTGGGTGTCCTGACAGATCAGCATTCCTCTGCTGCAAAACATACCCACTGTGTGCTCAGCATCCACCTGGGTCCACTCTGCATTGATGTCCATGGAACTGGGGGGACAAGTTCCATGAAATCACCAAGGCCATGTTCCCCATTGTACCCTGAGCAATAAATTATCTCCATCTGTTTGGGCTCATTTGTTTCTTTACTGCACAATTTCATGGAAGCATGCCAAGTCTGCCTAGCACGTACACTGATCTTTAGAAACTGCTTGACCACTTGACAGAGAAGAAAGGAAGCCAAGGCCTCCACAGCTAGTTGCTCCATTTTCTTTCCTTCTTTCTCATTGAATGACACAATCCTGTCTTCAAGTTTTCTTAGAACAAAAAGTACATTTCTCAGCCTTCTTTGCAAGTAGGTATAGCTACAGGTCTAATACTTTACCAAAGAAATGCAAAGAGAAATGCCCTTTAAGGAGGCCCACCCTCTCCTTCCACTTTCTCCTTCTTAGAGATTGGAATGCAGAAATACTGGTTGGAGAAGGAACAGCCATATTGGATCATGAGGAACAGGAACCATGTTTTTCAGAGCAAAAACAAAGAGAGGCCAAGATAAAAGGAGCTTGTTTCTTGACACCATGGAGTATCACTCCAGCAGCCTGGAACTGCTGACTTGAGCTTCAATATAGAAGAGAATTTAACTTTTACATTGTGTAAGCCTATTGTTTGAAGTTCCTGTAACTCATAGCTAAAACTAATCTTAACAATGTAAGACACAAGAGAATGATGGGATGGATTCACCTGACAATTACTCTTGCTCCTCAGAATTTAGAAGACAATGCAATGTCTAACTGCAAAACCAGCTAGCTCCTTCAGATCCTCATTCTTATAGCATCCCTCTTTCCAGTCTTCTTTCCCACTCGGACAACCCAGAAATCGGGAGGTCATTATCAACCAATGCCCACACAAACTAAATGCAATTAAGATATGAAGTCATGGTTTTTATCAGAATGAGATTTAGAGCTGGCTCTTCCAGGAATTCTGAGCAGAAATTGGACATTACATGGGGTCATAATAAAATCAATTATAAATCAAGTGCATTTAATCAAAGTTATGTTCAATTAAATAAAGCCTCTGCAGCCATTACAGTGCCATGCCTTCTTGACAGCATCAGAGTGAGATCACAGAGTGTTGTCATTCAGGATCTCCCTCCTCCAACAAATATTTGTTGAACGTATATTTGCCAGGCACTGTTCTAGACACTGATGAACAGGGTAGTCAAGGTCACTGAGATCATTGATCTCGTGTTCTATTAGGAAACACGAACAGTAAACACATAGATCAAAAAGAAAATCAAAAAGGTAAAACAAACTCAGTGCTGATAATGACCAAGAAGAAATAAAGTTTTAAGAAGTATTGGAAGAGACTTTGTGGTGGAGGCTGGTTTAATTTTGATGCAGGGGAAAGACCTCTTGACCGAGGTAAGTTATGAGTTGAGAAGTGAATTATGAGTAGACTCCAAATGCAAAGATCTGGGGGGAGAGGATTCTGGTAGAAGGAACACCTCTACAAGATCTCTAAGATGTAAATAAGTGGGATTCTTCTCAGGAATATACGTAGGCCCATTGAGGCTGGAGGAGGAGAGAGAGAGTATGGGCTAAGTCAAGTGAGCAAGACCAGTTCATTTAGCTGGTTCACTTTAGCCAGAGGTAGGCTAAAGGCAGCTCATGCAAACTCTCATGAGATGATTTTTCAACTATTTTGTGAGCCTGTTGCTAAATGCAAGCCTGATAAAAAAACAAATTGTGTAAACTTGCAATTGAGTAAATTTTATTAAAAACAAACACAATAAATACTCAAAAATCCATTACATTCTCACTATTTTACTACATTTTATTACTACTTATGCTCTTAAGGTTATTTATGCCCACTGAATTTGTTTAGTAAACATATTACATAGTAATAAGCTACTGCACATCTCTTGCCAAATGTGTCTTTAGCGACATCATGTGGGTAGTTTGACATCAGGCGCACCGTGAATGTTTACGTCATGGAAATCAGCTTACACTGTGAATCACAGTTGTTTGGCAGGTCGATAAACTAATTCACCAAGCCCCCACTGACTATCACTGTAGCAAAGACACAGAAGGGTGGAAACCAGATGCTGCAGAGGGCAGGCCCACAACTTCACTCAGGAATTGAAGACACTTGGGGTCACAGCAAGCTCAGCCACTGGCTAAGAGAGCAGGGACATCAAATCCAAGTAGAGAAAGGTAAGTGTTGATCTGAAAAAATAATCCAAGATCAATGTTAGGGAGGCTTCCCTAATTACAAGACTTAGAAGTAAGGGTTGGTACTCGTTGTGGTTTGGATTAGTGTCTACAGGCCACATGTTGAATGGTTGGTCCTCAGTCCTTGGTGCCATTAGGAAGTAGAAGAACCTTCAGGAGGTGGAGCCTAGTGGAAGAAGGTTAGATCATTGGGGATGTGCCCTTGAAGGGTTTTTTGGAAGGCTGGCTCCTCCTCTTTCTCTCTTTTTTGCTTCCTGGCTGCTATGAGATGACAGCCTTATCCACCAGCTCCTACTGCTGTGAGGTACTGTGCCACCAGGCAGTGGGGTCAATCAACCATGAACTGAAACCCCCCAAACTGTGAGCCCAAACCAACTTCTCCTTTTTAAGTTGATGAGCTCAGTCGTTTTGCCACAGCGGCAGAACACGGACTAACACAGTACCGAGTTCATCAACCCAAACACCTCCTCTTCCAAGAAGCTTTCTCTGGCTCGCTGCCCTTGGTCAGAAGTGGTCATTCTCCTGGGCTCAGACAGCACCTGGACATTTCTTCCATAAACTCATGCTCTCTTGCAGTCTTATTTTCACTCTTCTGTCTCTTGTCCTAGAGACAGAACTTGCAGGCCAGAAAATAAACCTTAATATTTCTTAAGTTTTCAAAACTAAACACAGAGCCTTATGCATATGAAGCATTCAAGTCTTGGTGGTTTAAGCAGAAATATAGAAAACTATGGATAAAAGTATTTCAGGTGATACCATCCCAAAAAAAGTATGGGGAGAAGCGAAATCTTCAGCAACAGGAGAATAATTAAATGAGTTTGTTTATAAATAGATGCAGACACAAAATTTTTTAAGATCTTACAACATATCATTTCTTAAAATACACAATTAAACTAGCTACTGGCATAAGGCAGAAAGCCTTGTATTATCTGTTACATAAATACATCAAGAAGTATATACACAAAAAATTAAATAAAAAGAGACTGGAAAGAGGAATTTTGTCTAGAATATGGGAGTAGAAGTGATATTTTGAGTGTCATATTTATATTTTTACATGTGAACATATGAAAAGAAGGAAAGTTGCAATGAAAAAGTATTTTCCCTCGAGAATCTGCCCAATGCCACATTGAATTTCTCATTAGACATAAATGAGCCATCCCTTAGCTTTATTCTTTCTTTTTTTATTCCTTATGGGAAAAGAATGAGGCAAATATATATTTCACACACTTAGATATTTATTCAGAACCAGGCACACTGCAGAGATTATCTCATTTCATCTTTTCTATGCTTCAATAAGATTTTAGGATTCCCACCGTATGGAGTCCACAGTATCAGGGTCTTGTGAGACAGGAAGAAAACGACTGGGAGGTTAGGCTGGGTAAAGTCCCATTATTCTCTCCCTCTGGCTCTCAAAGGGAAGCCAAGTCTAGTGAAGAGGGAGGCATAAACACCCCCCACTCAGAGACTGCTGGTCCCTTAGGGCCTTGGCAGGTTTGACCATTTGAAATCCTGGGTCTTGACGGTTGCAGTCATTGTCCACCTAAGAGACCTTCTGGAAAGCATATAGGGAGGCACACAGCCCACCATGCTCAGTTTCTTGGTAAAAGCAGAGTGGTAGCAGTGATTGCTGTTTTCCCGTGGGAAATGGCGACGGTAGCTTGAACCAAAGTAGCAGTGACAGTGGAGATAAAGAAAATGGGATGGATTTGAGAAAAAAAATTAGAAGATTGAAAAAAGGAGTCAACTTAGATATGAGATACATATTAAAGATGCCTCATGGGCTTATGCTATGCAGATGAAAACAATATCATCTGCAGTGAGGGCTCCATCTCTTTCTTCTCCAGAAGGACCATTGAGTTGCTGTCTCCAGACACCATTGAGAAGATCTGGGTGGAACTGGGACTCACTGCAATATATTAAGTTAAAGGAGGAAAATCTTCACCTTCCTTTGTATGTCTTATTCCTAAAATATGTTCTTGTTATTTTACTTCAGGATTTATAGAATTTTTTCATGTGCATTGTCTATAAGATACAGAGGTAAGATACAGGTGATTATTCTCATTTTGAAAAGGAGGAAAGAAACTCTGAGAAGTTCAGTGATATGTCCAAAATCACAGGAGTCATCTCAGTGCAAATCCACTCATTTACTCATTTATTCATGCAACATGTTTTTTGCACTTAACTCCCTAGAAATCAGTGACAGATTCATCATGGACCTAACAAAACTAAAGCTTTAGGGCCCCACATCTACATGGCCACCAAGGTGTTTGAAGAGACCCTAGATGTTGGCTTATCTGCTTATGAACGTCATCTATTTTGTAAAATTTGCCAAGGTCATAGAGTTAAACTAAATAAGGAGAAGTTAAGATGTGGATACATTTGATGTGATCATGGTGGAGTTGATTATGTCACTTGCAGTCACTAGAGGGGTGAGTGATTGCTGGTTGTCTAGGTATAAGAAAGGGCTGCAGGAGCGCATCCACTGTCCACTGTGTGGTCCCCAGGTCTGAAGATCTTGATAACTCTGGAGAATGTGTTCCCCGGCATCTGCCTCTTCAATCTCTGGACAAAACAGAATTTCCTGTCAGTAATAAACTTGATAATAAAGCATAAATAATTTGAGCACACAGATTTTTTTTCTTTTTCTATTACAACTATTTATTTATTTATTTATTTATTTATTTTATTTATCAGAGGCCCTTGGATTTGTATGGCACATGTCTACCATAGTTCTATCAATAATCCATATATTTGTGTATGAAGTGATATTCCTTAGGCATCCAAAATATCAATAACAAAAAATAGATTTCAATCAAATGTTACTGGGAAAAAAATATTTTCTTTTTCTAAAGATAATGTGAGTAAAAATCATAAGATGACCTAAGAGTAGGCACCAAAAGATACAGAAAAGGTTACTATAGAAGTTTATAATACAACTCATTAATTGTAGCATTCTCCCAGCTTTTAGCAATGAATAATTTCCTTGGATTTCTGTTCTAAGGTCATTATTCATTTCTTTACTTGATTTGATACTTAGATACTTTTATTCCTTTGCTTAAGGAGTGCCTCAATGTTTTAAAGTCTTAGAAGGACGGGATAAAAGCAGCACTGACCACAGGGTGGGTAAGCGTTAGGCCCAGCAGAGGTCAAGCACTGTGCGGCGGGGGGGGGGGGGGGGGGCACTAGGGTTGGTGGTGGTGGCCAAGAGGGAAGAAGATACCAGGGGGAAAGGGCTGTGTGAGCATTTCTTGGATAGAAAGCCTAGCCTGAGCCTCGGAGAGACTTAGTGTAACAGTTCACCAAGTGACCCAAGGTTCATGTATTATTTCTAATGCAAGCTTTGAGACTTCAATGTGGGAGTTCTTCTTTTCTTGCTCCCCTAAATGTTCTCACCTCCCTCCCCCGCCCCAGACAGTCAGATGTCCCTTCCTTTGATCTCCCTCAGTGAACTGTTGATGTTCTGGTTTAACATTCAGAATTGCCTCTTTGCTAGCCTTCTTACAAAAAGGATGTGAACTCCCTAGAAACAGGGACAGAATGTCTTTTTTATTTTTTTAATTATTGCATCCTGGAACCTGTCAAATGTTTGGCATATAGTTAGTAAATTATAAACGTTTATACAGTAATCTTTATTGAACTCTTACCAGGTGTTTCTGGACATTAAAAACCATTGTGATTGAAATGTAGACAGTCCCTGCCTCCTGAGACTTACATTCTAGTGTCTGTTGAAGAAATAAATGACCACAGTACCCAAACTGAACCATCTTGTGATGAGGAAAGGGGTTTAAAGCATTCAGAGTCTGTGCCCTCCAACCCACCTTCCATAGCTCCAGATTTATCTTCCATGGACAAAACAGGGTCATCTCTCTGCTTAAAACTCTCTCAGCCCATCACTCAAACCATCTGTCTGTCAAAGCTTCCTGTAATCCTGCACAACCAACACAGCCCTTCAACATCACCAACACATGGTCCCTGCTCCTCTTACTGGGTCCTTTCTCGTACTTTAGTGGAAATATTCATGAAGGATTGTGTGATACCATCAATATCAAACACACTAAATATTTATGAATTGCCGGCTATATACCAGGATCTGTGTGTTCTTTGGAGAGGAGACCTGAGGCTAGCGAGATACTCACATAAAAAGATCACTGGTGATGCTAGAGAAACAATGTCAGGTGACAAATGAGGCTGCAGACAGGAAAGGAGGAAGAAGATAGTCTTGCTGAGTCCATTAAATTAATTAGAAAAGTGTTTGGCAGGCCACTTTCAGTGTCATAGATGCTTACGCCTATGTCATTTAAACTGCTTTAGTCCTTCCAAGTTCATTCACTCCTTCCAGCATTTGTGGAGTCTTTGCCTTATTCTAGACCCCAACCAGAAAGAGGTTAATCCCTGCTGTTAGGAAGCTTTGAGGGGACTGGGTTCTTGTCCTAAGAACAATGGGAGCTACTGAAAGGTTTCAGTAGAGGAAACATAGAGTACACTATGTTTTAAAAGATGACTGGGATGTGATATAAAGCAATATTCTTTGTACTTTGATGCCTTTAATACATGTGACCACATCATTTAATCACATGTTTCTGGTGGCGGCAAGGAAAAGGTATCACAGGGGGAGAAAACTGGAAACAGACCATGGAGTTGGGAGAATTTTGAAATTAAGCAATGGGATTGGTGATAGATAGGAGGGAAGGGATTTATACAATCCTTCCTTCAATATCCAGAAGGGACTGGTTCCAGGACCAAAATCCATGATACCCTTATAGAAAATGAGGTAGTATTTGCATAAAAGCTATGCACATCCTCCTGTTTTCTTTAAATCATCCCTAGATTACTTATAATACCTAATATAATGCAAATGCTACGTATTTAATTATTCTACTATATTTATGGAATAAGGACAAGGAAAAGTCTGAATATGCTCAGTACAGAACTGTTTCTTAAAATATTTTCAATCTGCAGTTGGTTTATTCCAAAAATGCAGAACCTGTGGATATGGGGGGGGGCAACGGTAATATATATTTTACATTATACACATTACATATACATTATATATACTTTACATATGCACACATTATATATGTACAATATAAACATATACATTGAAATGTACATGTGTATTTTTCTGCTAAGACTTAATGATAAAGATGTGGGCATGAAGGTGAGAATATAGAATAATTTTCAGGATTTGGGGTAGGATTCTGGGTGGGTGAATGATGCCAAACCTGTAAATACAGAACACAAGAGGAGGGAAAAATTTGAGGGAGTAAGAATGATGAACCCGATTTCAAATATTACACTGGGAATATTCTAGTAGCAATGCTGGCCACACAAGTTTGGGATCCCAAAGAGAGAGTCAGGCTAGAAATAAGAATTTGAGAGTCATCAGCAAAGGAGATGGGAGTTAAAACCTAAGGGCAGCATGTCAGTGGGGGTGGAGGACATTCCATTCAAGACAGGAAACTAAAATCTGAGTTCTTGGAAAGTAAAAGGATTCAGGGATGAGAATCAGGTAACTGACATAAGAGAAAACAGCCAGCTGAGTCCCCAGCAGTGCCAAATACAGTGAAGCAATCAAATAAGGTAAGATGTGAAGCATCTATTACATCTAGCAAAGTGCTGTATTAATGGGTGTGTTAGTGTGAGAATCAGAACCTGTAGGAGATTAGGTAGGTAGGTAGTGTTTAGGGAGATAGTAGATAGGTAGGTAGATATTTGGAATATAGAAGGAGTTGGTTCATTTGGTCTCAAGTTCTACAGTCAGCAAACTGAAGACTCAGGATATGGCTCCAGCCTAAGTGTGACTTCAAAGGCAGGAGAAGCCCCATGCCCCAGCACAAAGACAGCCAAGCAAAGAGAAAATTCACCCTTACTCATCCTTTTTTATTCTATTAAGGCATTCAACAGGGTGGATGATGCCCACCCACATTGAGTAATCTGCCTTACTCAGGTTACTAATTCAAACGTTAATCTCATCCAGAAACACCTCCAGAGTCAGAGTCATAATAATACATAACCAATTATCAGGGAATCTGTGGCCCAATCAAGCTGTCATTTAAAATTAATTATTGCAATGAGGACCTTCAGTGGAGGGCAAACCCAAGAGAAGCAGGTGAGAAATGAGTGGAATAATAGATGTAGAGTTCTGTACACCTAGGAATTTGGTTGAGGTTTGAAAGTGGGCATGAGATCAAGGTGTAGGTTGACTTTCTTTTTTTTTGGTACCAAGGATTGGACCCATGGGACTTAACCAGTAGGCCACAACCTCAGCCTTTTTTAAATTTTTTTTTTTAATATTTATTTTTTTTAGTTTTCGGCGGCACAACAAACATCTTTATTTGAACGTGGTGCTGAGGATCGAACCCAGGGCTGTGCGCATGCCAGGCGAGTGCGCTACCGCTTGGGCTACATCCCCAGCCCTTTTATGATTTTTTTTTTTGAGACAGAGTCACTAAGTTCATTAAGGTCTTGCTAAATTGCTAAAGCTGACTCTGATCTTCCTATCCTCCTGCCTCAGCCTCCCAAGCGACTGGGATTACAGGCATGCCTCACTACTCCTGGCTTGACTTTTTCTTAGGATGGAAAGATATTTGATAAATTAGAGATTTATGGGTGAATTGGTCAAACTTTCCAAGGTGCTACTGTTCTGAATGAAGACAAAGTCCAAGATGTAGCCTCAAAAGGAATGCCTCCAATGGAGATCAAGGTTACTGGAGTTGCGAAAGTCAAGGGAGAGAAAGGCCTGGTGCTGGGCAGGTTGTTCACATGGTCCTTTTCTTCCCCATGCAAGTTTTTGACAGTTCATCAGGGCTGGCAACAAAGGCCATCTATGTACCAAATTACCCATCTTCTCCTCCTCCCTCAAAGTCAACAGGGTATCCCCCAAGGCTTAACGGACTAGTGTAGCTTCTTTATCAGAAGACATTCGATCTTCACGGGTCTAGAGAGTGGAAACTGTGTCTTATCACTTCTAATACCTCTAGATAGAGAACTGCCCATCATCCACGTATAAAAGGGATTCTGATTTGGTGGATCTGGGGTGAAGTTTCAGAATTTGCATATCAGAAGTATCTCAGATAAATCTCTAATGTGGGTATCCCAGGGCATGGGACACGGGTGGCACAGTGTTCTGTGGTTGAACTGAATTGTGTGGAGTCGAATTAATAGAATTGAACTAGGTGATACTTTGGATCCAATTGCAGAATTTTCTCAGTTCCCTCTGCAGTTTGAGAAATGACCGGCAGGTGGCGGGCGACCCACACAACCAGCAAAGAAGGATTTAGAGTTTCCCAGGTCCCCAAATCCCAGCCGAGAAACTGCCCAGGCCGTAAATGACAGACGGCTGTTGGCAACAGTGGTGAGTTTCATCCCTTTGCATGTGACTCCCGATGCCCCAACGACCCACCTTTTGGGTTGGTCCCCAGGGCTAAAGCCTTGAGGATCCCATGATCCCAGGATGCCGCCTTCTGGCCGCCAGAAGCCATAATCCGGCAAACTGGTGATGACGTCATTGCCTCCCAAGATTCTTGCGGGTGAAATGAGGGCAGAACAGCAAAGAATGTTTGGCTGTACAAAGAGGGGAATTGTGGCTAGAGAGTGATATGGCCCGGTGTGTGTTGTCTTATAGTGAGAACTGGAGGGGATATATATTGTTCACTCCCCATAGTTTGTAAATGGAGAACATCCTGAGAGAGAATGAACAACTTGCCAGGGGTTGCAGAGCCAGAAAGTTCTAGAACATCCTGGAATCTTTCTCTTCAAGTGATTTAGGCAAATACCTGCATTTCCTTCATTAGTGTCTGCTGAAGATTTGTCATATTGGGAACATTTGTTGGATAAGTTGGACGATATGATGTGTTCGCAGTCCACCGGCTTTTACCTAGACTTATTTGTTTGGGGATAGCCTGACAGATGGGGAAGGGTGAAGGTCCAAAGAGAAATGGAGATGGAAGAAGAATGTTCTCCATTGTTTTTCCACTTTGTGTTTTAATGGACTTTCTTTTCTTACCCCCTTTTCCATCTATTAAACCACAAGTATATTCAAGGCTATGATGGTATCTTATTTATCTTAGTTATGTTCCATAGTTATTTGATAAATCAAATGAACACTTATCATTTTAAAATCTAAACTGTATTTTTTAACATCTGAGATGAATAGCATATACCTCCTGTTATATATTTCATCATGCTTCTAATATTTAACATAGTTCCCATATGTCAGGAACTGTCATTTTTTTTACAAACATTAACTAATTTAATTGTCTTTGTTAGTTTCTTTAAGTTTCCATGTCCATGAATATCCACATAGAATGTCACTCTCTTCCTCCCTCCTCCCCTTCTCCTTTACCCAACAGAGGACTAGAAAATACCTAGTGTTCCTCACTAGGTATTATGCTGCAAATGCTGGGCCTGGGGAAGAATGTCCCTGAGGGAGGAAAGAGTTCATTAGCAGATCCTGGGGATGCAAAGTTAATCCTGGTAGTCATTGTGCCTTGACCATCGCTGATTCCCTAATAGGTTACCAGTAAACCAGATTCTCTTGGTCTGCAGGGCCAGGGTCCAGATTTGCCCTGAGGAGGAGAAGGCTGGAGACCAGAGGGCTGATTTATAAGCCAAAGCATTCCCGGGACGCACCGCAAGGAGTCGGGCTGAGCCCGGACTTTGGGGAGGTGATGATGGACACAGGACACGTGGCCACACAATGGGGACACACGACTGACCTCAGTCACTTCGGTAAACTGCCCCTGCTTTCGGGAGGCGGCAGGAGCGTTTCAGGGCTTCCAAGTCTCCTGGTGCCTAAGTTCCTTGCCCCGCTGGTGGCTCCCCTCGCCCTGATGATTGTGGAGAGCACCCCCTGGCGCGCGGGAGCTCAGAGGCCCCTGACGTCCATGCAGGAGGATGGAGCCTTGGTGCGTTCCGTGCTGTGTAGAGAAAAAGACACAAGAACCACATCGGTTAGGGGTTGGGTCTATTCAAGACCCGCTTCAAGTGAACTTTCCAGGATGGTCAGATAGGCACCGGGCGGAGAAGTGACGTCACCGAGCAGCCTCCATGGGTGAAAGGCAGCAGAAGGGTCAAAAAGTAGTGTGTGGCTGGAAGGGGGTGGGGGGGCATGTGATTAGAGGGCTATCAGAACGAAAGAAGGGGTTTGGGGATGTATGAATTTGAGAAGTAGCATCAAGTTGGGGTAAACAGCAGGGCTTTTTTTCTTCCCTCCTATATGCAAACTGTCACTTCGGGTTAGCGTGAGCCCTTATCTGGCTCATTAGCATGAGCTGTGGCTAACACGCTTAAACCCTCTAATTATTTATTATGCCGACACGGAGCGGGTCGCAACCCCCTGGCGCACTTGTGCGGACCGTGGAACTGGGCACCGCGCGGGGGCTGGGGCGCAGCGCTGGCCTGGCTGCGCGCTACCAGAGAGACCCTTCCTGGCTCAGGAGTCCCCCAGAGCACTGTGTAGCTAGTGCAAACGGCAGAGTTAGAGCGGTCTATCTGGAATGTCCTCTTGTCAAAATTTATCCCTGGGGAGTTAGTGCACCACATAAGTGGCTCCTGGTCTACACTTGCGCAGGCTCTTCTGGATCCACAAAGATGGAACTTGGCGCGAAGGGAACAGACTTTTTTGCAAAAAATGGAAGTCAAACCCAGAGCAAGGGGCTGAGACTTGGGCTGGCTTGACTGTTGGGTACACCTTCCAGAAGAGCTCTGGGAAGAAACTAAAGCCCCTAGATGGTCTACGCAGTTTGGGGGAAAGAGGACGGCTGAAATCTGGCCACTCATGTCCATGGTTCTAGTCAGAAAACAGTTTCAAAATAAGTTAACCTCTGTAGGGTGTTTTTTCCCCCTCCCCTTCTAATTGTCCCCCTCTCCCCCTCCCTCTCCCTTCTGAGTCTGTTTTATGTCCCTCTGCGTTGTGCCAACTATTTTATCTTTATTCCTTCTCTTTTTCTCTGTCGCCATTCATTCCTTTTTTTGTGTGTGTGGCTTCTGGGGCCGATGTGCGGCTTGTTACCACCCACTGTAAGCTCGCTCCTGTAGCTGAGGTGTTTCTATACAAACTCGAGCGTCCAGTTGTCATATTAATTATTACACTGAGTAATGACTGAAATAGTCAAAATAAGGGGAGACTCAAGAGCGCTTTTTCTTGCTGCTCAAAGATTCAGCAAAGAAGCCGTGCAACAAAGCACTAATTGGTCCCCAGAAACACTCTGACAAGGCATGGAAGATAGGTTTCATAGAGCCCTGCGATTGTGAAGGGGGGAAGGCTCTGAATGGACCCCACGCTTCTTTTCTAAACTCTCTTGCTGAGCAAAAAATGGACCTCTGTTTGAATACTGCCCTGATCCTTGAATACTATACCCAGCAGAGAAAAAAATGCACCATTTATTGTAAGTTTTTTTTTTTTTTTCTTCTCCATCTATTCAGGGGTTCTCTGTGAAGAATCAGCTGGTTTTGTTTACCATGAAAGACCTTTACTTTATTTTCATTCTTGGAGGAGATGGGGAGGGAGAGGGAAGGAGAGCCATGTGCCTAGACAGAGCAGAGCTGGCCTACTGTAACAAAATAGAGTGTAACAAATCCTACAAAAGTTGAGAATGTATTGATTCTTGGGAGAGCTATATAGATTAACGACTTTCTTTATGCTTATCCAAAGAAGGTATTTAATCATAATGTAAATGGGGCTTTAGAAAAACTAAAGACTTAGCGTTACTTCTCCTTATTTGGAGAACTTCAAAAGGACTTGTGAGGTGGCTGCAAATTACCTCCTTCACCCCCACCCCCGCACTTTTCCTCCTTCATCAAAAAGCCACAATAAAATATAGTTTGTGCTTTTTTGTGTTGCACTTTTTCAACTTTTTTTTCTTTTTAAGGCATACTGAAAAAGCGAATAGATTTGTTAGTAAGTCTGAATTCCTTCATGCAGGTGCAGGCCTGGCTGTTTTGACCAAGAGGGGAGCCCAGCCAAATGCAGGCTGTGCTGTTCTGCCCTCTGAGCAAGCCCTCTCTCTACAGAAACTCCAACTCGGGGTCTTCCCTCAGAATACCTTGGCAAGAGTGCCTTTGGAGACAGGAGATTGAGCAGAAATGTACTTTTCCTTTTCTCTGAGAAGACACGCTCAGAGTACTATGCACAGGTCAGAGTACATATGGTTGCCAGAAACACATATTTGCAGTTAATTCAGGGCAAACTCAACTTTTCTCAAAATACCTGAAGCTTTGGGCTGGAGTTGTGGCTCAGTGGTAAAGTGCTTGCCTTGCATGAGCAAGGCCCTGGGTTCAATCCTCAGCACCACATAAAAATAAATAAATAAATAAATATATTGTGTTCATCTACAACTAAAAAATATTTTTAAAAAATACCTGAAGCTTCTGGGACTTAGGTCTCTCCCAAATTGAGGACTATACAAAAATTCTTGTGACCAAATCCAGAATCAAATGCCTGTGTTTATGTTTGTACACTCTTTGCCCCTTATTCAAGATACACTATAAGTACAATTTTATTAAATGATTCATCCCATGACAAACTTAGTTTTGTTCTCCCACAAAAAATGTAGATGGGCTTTTTTTTTTTTTTTAATGAGACATATCTTGGTCCCACAGAAAGAGGTCATAGGATTCTGGGGCTTGAGGATAGCATGTGAGAAAAGGTGATTCTGGTCTGGCCTTCAGCTGTGAGTGGAAATTAAAGTGGCAAGAGACTCCAGGGAACAGGGTCTCCGATCTTTGGGTTGCAGATCTGTATGGATCATTAAGAGAAAGTCATTTTCCCCTAAGTGGACCTTGGTGCAAAGTGTTGATAAGAGCTAACTGAAAGCACGGTCCAGTTCCAGGAGGTTCTGACATAGGAAAGTGGTTTGAAGGTACAGTAATGAATTCACTTATTGTAGTGAAGGAAAAAATCAAACCTTTCTATTTTCCTAGAATACCTTTATTTGGGGTAATACTTACCAATGAGTGTCAGTGTCTTGTTCTCCTGAAGACAGAACTCTGTTTGCATGCTACTAGTTGAAAGAATGGAAAGACAATTCCTGGTATAAGTGGGATATTTGCAAAGCAAACTCAGCAACAGCATTTGACTTCATTCTCATAACACCCTTGACAAATAGGCAAAGGGTACCCCATTTGTGAGTGAAGGTATCAGAACTCTTCTTGTGTGAGTTGTTTTCTTCTTCCCATGTTCAGATAAATGGGACCTTGTTCAAATATCCTGGTTAATTGAAATCCTGGATGACTTGTTCAGAGTCAGGCCCACTGAGTGGCAAGGGAACCACAGAAAGCCAATGTGTACGTCTGGGCCAGGGACTGTGCTACAGCCACTTTCATGTGAAGGTCACATGAAATAATAGCATGTCTATATTTAATCTCCTTGCTACTGCTCAAGTTAAAACATGTGCTTGCTTTCTCTATCACCTTGATTTACCAGAATCACAGTCATTCTTAAAGAATAAGAGGAATTACTTACCCCTAACTGCTCAGACAGGGAGACATGGTAGCACTGGATTTCCACCTGCTGGAGCAATTATCACAGTGTGGTTCCAGGAAGCCAAGAGCTGAACCTTTTCCTCTGCTGTACTTTGGGTCTGGAATATTTCCCAGAGGGCCAAGTATAGAATTCTTGGTCACCAGGGTGGCGCTATTGGGAAGTGGCGCTTTGACTAGCTTTGAGAGATGTTTGGTCATTGGGGCCATGCCCTTGAAAGTGATTGTGGAACTCCTTGCCCTTTCGCTTCCTGGCTGTAAGGTGACTGGTCTTCCTCCACTGTGCACTTCCACCAAAACACGGGGCCAACAGATTATGGATTGAAACCCCCCAAATGGAGAGCTTAAATCATTTATCTTTATGAATGAATCATCTCTGGTATTTCATAGTGGTGATGGGAATGCTAACCAACACACCCTCTCTCAAACCTTGCCTGGGCAGGCTGGATGAGTGTGAATTCCTCATCCATCTCTTATCTAGACCTAGTCCAGAGTGCTGCATGTGTTTCAGGTCAAAATCTCACAGTTCTTGTAAAATAGGTGTTGTACCTGTTGCATGGTACAGGTAAGGAAACAAAGACTCCCAGAAGGTAAGCTAGGATGTACTCAAGGTGATTAACTCTGGATACCTGCCAAGTCCTCTGCTTTATCTGGAGCTCCCTGGGCCTAGGAGAGCACACTGCCAGTTCTCTCAAGAGGGAAAAGAGTGTGTTATAATCTAGGTCACAGAGTGAGAAGCAGGATACCAATTTTGGCTCTTGAGCCTCAGTCCTTTGCTCCAAACTAGACTCCCATACAGGAGGTGTATAGGAGGTGACCAGGCCTAGATTAGAATGAGCCAGGAAACTAGTCTCAGAGGAAAACTCTCCTTGTTCTGTACCATCTCCGAGGGCAGAGTTGCATACTCCTAAAAAGAAATCTAGACAGCTCTACCTTAAGCTTGGAGGAGGTGAATACAGTGTTGGAGTGCTTAAGTTTCCTGGAGGAAAAAAAGAACAATGCCTGGGTTTCTGGAAAGCTTTGCAAAGCATGCATGGAAGCAGGCTTAGCCTATGAGAGTGGAAAGAATTGGGGTTGGAGTAGGGAGACTAGGGATACACTCTCAGGTACTTTTGCTTGGAAGGGTTACTATACGTGTTATTCTCTCTCCAGAGCTGGGGCTAAGGAGCAGGAACACTGCACTGCAAGATTTCACAAGGTACTTACATTTAGAGCCCATTTCATGGCCAATGTGTGTTGTTCTGATTTTTTAAGTCTCTGGTAATTAGGATCTCTATATAGGCCTGGAGCCCCCATTCCAGAATACGCATGGCTACCAGAAAATTTTCTGTGCTCCTAGATATGGTTTTCAAAATTAACTAATGTAGGCCTTTCCTGTGCAGATCAGAAAACTGAGGCATATAGAGGGGATGAGGCTTGTTATAGGTTACAACATACCACAGTGGTACAGCTGGGACTCTTCTGAACCTTTTTCAAATGTAGAACAATAGAAGTTGCATGGGAATTCAAGGTTCCTGCATGATTCAACATAACATGAATTAAAATGCACTTATATGCATTGATGTTAGCCACACACTCTTCTGCTTGCCACCTGCCCCCACTTTTGCCAGAGAGGAGTGGGTAAGGCCTGTGGAGGCCTCCTAGTGGCACACCCAGGACTCACAGTGGGGCATGTGGATGGTGGACAGCTTCTGAATAATCTTATTCTTTCTGTGGCCTGAGGTTTCCTGAGGTTGGAAAGCAAAAGAGGCCCAGACTGGGTGGTGAAACCAAACTTCTGAAAAGACAAATGTGACTCTGGAGACCTCTTGGTTTATTTCTTGGGATGAGGACATCCTCCCAGTAAATCCAGGAGGATTCAGTGAAGTCCTGTGAATTCAACAAGACACAGGTTACTGGGGGCCCTGGGGCCTGTGTGAGTGAGGTTTACAGAACAGACCTTTCTTGGCAGGACTAGGTCATATGCTTCCCAAACCTACCTCTTCTACATAGAGGAAACTGAGGCAGAAAAGAGACGTGATTCACCTGGGGAGCTACTATTCTTACTGCCCACCATCATTATTGTTCTGAAAACACTCATAACCAGCCACTCATGCCCAGTGTGGCTGCCTGGGTCACTCTCACCGACCCTTTAGAAAGACCCAGCTTCATAAAGGAAGTTCATTTAGAGCAATTATTCAGATAATTCACAATCACTCCTGCACTTAGATCTCTGATCAAAACTATTTCCATTGGACAAATCCACCAGATTGCCCTCTCTTTGATTCTGCCTCTGTAGACCTCAGATGCAACCCAGCCTCCCGCTCCACCAGATCATTTGCTTGGTTTGCTTTGCCCAGAGCACAGTATCCCCAGAAGCTGGACCGGGTTCTGGCCAGAGAGTGCCAAGGCCGAGGGCCCAGGAAGGGCGCCTGGGCAGGCGCTGTCCAAGCCGCCGAGCGACGGCTGCAGGCGCCTCCCCCACCCTCATGGCGCCAGCACACGGCTCCACCGGGCTCAGCTCCCAGTCGCCTGCCACCGGCCCGCCGGGCACACGCCTGGGGCGGGATGGAGGCTGCGCCAAGGCCGCCGAGGAGCCTGCGGCAGCGCTGCCCAACAGCCAAAGAAGCTCCTCCAGTCCCCTAAGCTCCATCACTCTCTCCTCTGCCACCCCACATCACATCTTTCTTCTGGAAAGACCGGAAACATCCCAGAGCGCTCTCCTCTTTGGGCTTCCCACCGCCAGTCTAGAAATAATCCTCTGGGGAACCGGTGCGAGGTTACCCAGGGAGCGAGGAGGTGTATGGGGGGGGGGGGTGCACCTCCCTGCAGAACTAATTATAATCTTTCCGCACTCCTCCATTGTGGTGGGTACCTCCTAGTTATTAGGGTAGGATGGGAGGTAGAGACCATCTAATCTAATCTTCTGTGGCCACAGAGGAGGAAACCGAGGCTCAGGAGGATAGCACTTACCAAGAGCCACAGAGCTCTTGAGAGGACCGGACAGAACTAGAACTCAAGCTTTCGCAGAGTCCAGTCCTTTTCCTTCTGTCGGGATGGAGTTTCCATTCCATGCTTCTACACTTTAATTTTAAAACTACTGCAGTTCTTGCCATTGAAGAACCCCGAGAGAGCAGTAGTGGGGAGAAGTAAAGAGGAAAAGTAGAGCCCCAATTCTCCCCTAACCTTCACACCTCCCCTGTGCCACTCTTTCTGCCCAAACCCTTCCCTGAATTTTGTTCCAGTTTCTCAGGAGAATCCAAGAGCATGTCACCGCAGAACTTTCTACCCATACACCTCAATTCCCAGAGCCATTTACCCCTCCTGCGAAGCCGGCCCCCCCTTTCTAGAGCCACCCCCGGCCGCAGCCCGCTCCTAGCGCGGCGCCTGTTTATTCAGCCGGGAGTCCGGCACGCGCCAGGCGCACGCACTGCAACAACAAACCCCGCTGAATGGAGAGTTTGCAAGGAGCGGGCGCAGGGAACAGGAGGGGGAAGGGGAGCGGAGGAGGGGGAGTTTAGGGAGTGGGTGGGAGGAGGAGGTAAGAGGAGGGGGAGTGGGGGCTGCAGCCGCTCGCTACAGCAGCGGGGAGTGGGGGGCGAGGCGGGGCCAGGGCTGCGCGTGGGGCTGGGTGTCCCATTGAAAAGGCGGCTGCGCTCCGGCCGCCCAGCACTCTCACTTCTGGCCAGGGAACGTGGAAGGCGCACCGACAGGGAGCCGGTCAGGGAGAGACAGTGAAAGAAGGAAATAAGAAAGAAAGGGGGTTAACAAAATAATAAAAACAGCCTGAGCCAGGGCTGAGAGACCAGGACCAGGCGCAAGAGACCGCAACCTTTAGGTAGAGAGGATCTGGAGACGCGAGACTCCGCAGAGCACACTCAGCACTGACTTTGGCTACTTCTTCCTTTTTCTTTTTCTTCCTTCCTTCCTTTCTTCTTCTTTTTTTTTTAATAGCAAGAAGGCGCTAGCGACAGACTCACACGCGAGCGCCACGCGAGGCTCCCAAAGCCAACCCGCGAAAGGAGGAGGGGAGGAGGAGGAGGCAAAGAGGGAGGAGAAAAATCATTTGCACCTTCTTTGCTCCCTAAGAAATCTCCCGGGGATTTTGCTTTTTAAAAAACTTCCCTCTGGGCTCCCACTTTTTCTCTCCCCTTCTTCCCTCTCTGTTCGTGCACCCAAGTTCTGATTCTACCCCTCGCCTGCCCCGCACCTTGCATCCGGGCTCACTCTGATCCTGCGACTCCTTGGCCGCCGCTGCGCATGGAAAGCTCTGCCAAGATGGAGAGCGGCGGCGCCGGCCAGCAGCCCCAGCCGCAGCCCCAGCAGCCCTTCCTGCCGCCGGCAGCCTGCTTCTTTGCCACGGCTGCAGCTGCGGCGGCAGCAGCCGCTGCAGCGGCAGCTCAGAGCGCGCAGCAGCAGCAGCAGCAACAGCAGGCGCCACAGCTGAGCCCGGCGGCCGACGGCCAGCCCTCAGGGGGCGGTCACAAGTCAGCGCCCAAGCAAGTCAAGCGACAGCGCTCGTCCTCTCCGGAACTGATGCGCTGCAAACGCCGGCTGAACTTCAGCGGCTTCGGCTATAGCCTGCCGCAGCAGCAGCCGGCAGCCGTGGCGCGCCGTAATGAGCGCGAGCGCAACCGTGTCAAATTGGTCAACTTGGGCTTTGCCACCCTCCGGGAGCACGTCCCCAACGGTGCGGCCAACAAGAAGATGAGCAAGGTGGAGACGCTGCGCTCGGCGGTCGAGTACATCCGAGCGCTGCAGCAGCTGCTGGATGAACACGACGCGGTGAGCGCCGCCTTCCAGGCTGGCGTCCTGTCGCCCACCATCTCTCCCAACTACTCCAACGACATGAACTCCATGGCCGGTTCTCCGGTCTCATCCTACTCGTCCGACGAAGGCTCTTATGATCCTCTCAGCCCCGAGGAGCAAGAGCTGCTGGACTTCACCAACTGGTTCTGAGGGCTCGGGCTTGTCTGGCCCTGGTGTGAATGGACTTTGGAAGCAGGTAGGTTGCATTTGGGGGTGGACAAATTGAGGTGATCTTCTAGTCTTGGTCCTTTATCCTTCTGTTGAGTGTCTGTGAAAGGCGAGGCTGACTCCACGGCATGAAAGTCTTATTTATTTATTTAAAGAATTTGTTAAAGTATGGCATTTCAAATTCTAGTTTGTTGGTTTCAACACTGCCTTGAGAAAGTGGCTTAGACCAGGAATTCAAGGAGTGGAGGGAAGGGGTGAGGAGCTGAGATGCTGGCGAATAGGGTCCTGGGATTTGTCAAAAGAGGTGTTCTACCTGACAGGGTCTCCCTGAAACCTCGGGTGCTCTACTGCTATCTTCTACGTCCACACTAACTTTTCCTGTTCTTCTGTTTGTTATAGCGTGACAGTACCACCTGCATCTTTAATGCTTTCTTATCAGCGATGTTGGGAGGGAGATAAAAGAAGACGGAAAGAAGAAGGACACACACACACACACACACACCAAGAACAGGCCACCAGCCCCAACGCCCACTGATTGATGAATGCCTGAGAGACAAGGCTCTCAGAAAACAAGGATGCGCCCAGAACAGCATGTTTGCACTCCAATCACTTACGGGGATATGAAGAGCAACTAGTACCTGAAAGTCTGCACAGGACCCAGCTGGTGTGCAAAAACAGTGGTCTCCCTGAGGAAGACAGCAGCGCATGCCCTGTAGTAACTCCCACCCACCGCTAAGAAGAGTTGAAAGCACTTGCCCTGGTGCCTTCACCTCCCCGCCCTCTCTCAAAGTGCAGTTCTTAGCCCTATAGAATTGGGTTGGTGTCTCTGATCTCAGTAACCCTCATCCCAATGAGCTGTGGAGATTTGTCCACAGTGCAACTATGCTATACTCAGTACTTTGAAACCCTGCCCCTGTTCCCTGGGACCCCTCCCCAAACCCTACTATCTCCCTCATACTGTCTTTTCTACAGTTTTCATCATAGAAGGCTTCCAATCTTTTGTGAATTTTTTTTATTATAAGAAAAATCTATTTGTATCTATCCTAACCAGTTTGGGGATATATTAAGATATTTTTGTACATAAGAGAGAAAGAAAGAGAAAAAATTTATAGAAGTTTTGTACAAATGGTTTAAAATGTGTATATCTTGATACTTTAACATGTAATGCTATTACCTCTGCATATTTTAGATGTGTAGTTCACGTTGCGACTGCCGTTTTCCCTATGTGGTTTTGTAAAGAACTCTCCTCATAGGTGAGATCAAAATGCCACCAGATGTACTTCAGCACCAATGTGTCTTACTTTATAGAAACGTTTTTAATGTATTAATGATGTTATTAAATACTGTTCAAGAAGAACAAAGTTTATGCAGCTACTGTCCAAACGCAAAGTGGCAACCAGTTGGTTTTGATAGGTTGCCTTTTGGAAATTTCTACCACTGCCTTTTTTTTTCCTTACTGTTTTATTACAAACTTACAAAAAAAAATGTATAACCCTGTTTTATACAAACTAGTTTCGTAATAAAACTTTTTTCCTTTTTTTAAAAATTAAAATAACTAGATGTCTCTAAGGCTTCTTTGACTCTGACTCCCCTGGCCAAGTTATTATTAAACTACCAAAGGGAATGGGTGGATGGGGGGAGGAGAGAAAAGGGTGGTACAAAACATGCTAAGTGGCAGAAATGGCCAGACTAAGTGCTATGGCCAGTCCTAGTCCTATGGTAACTTTGTGATGGCTGTAGAGGGAAAATATTATCTGTATTTTATTTCTTCTGTTTCTCTATTTATATATTTTTTATTTTGGTATAATGAATTGAACCCAGTAATGCTTAACCACTGAGTCACATCCCCAGCCTGTTCCAGTTTTTACATTGAGACAAGGTCTGCTAAGTTGCTTAGGGCTTCACTAGATTGCCGAGGTATAAATAAAAATAAAGGGCCTCTTTTATTTTTACTTTTTGGGCTATGAATATACACATGTCCCCAAGAGAAGAGATGATTTAATGGCTGCATCTCACTTTAATAAATTGTACATTTAAACGTCTCCCAAAAAAGTCAACTGGAAAGAGAAGGTCCTCCCCTCCCCTCCACTCTCAGACCTTCACTTTCTGAGTTTAGCCTTGTGAGTCTATGGAAGGGCTGGAGGAACTAGTGGAGAGAGGGGTGGGTGGAGGAAGGAGGTGCTGAAGGTTGGGGGCGGGGGGGGGGGGGTTGGGGCAGGTCTCCTTTTCCACACCTTAGCCTTGATGGTGGGTGTACTCCTTTTCTCTCACTTCTAGGCACACGTTTCCTAGTCCTTTTCCCCCATGCACACACTTGCCATGGTGACTTCAAGTAAAAAGCAGGTATGATATGAATTCCTTGCAGAAGGAATTAAATTTAAATAAACGCATTAGAAATGTGTGGTCGCCTTGAGACACTGGCCTATCTAAGCCTGTGACTCTATCCGAATAGCGTGAGCTGCGTGTAAAAGTACCCAATTACCAAGATTCAAAAAGAAATTGGTGGGTTTTTGGCTGGCTTGCTTCTTGTCAGTTAGCAAGGACGTGATTAGAATCCTACTGGGCCTCTCGCCGGCTCCTCACTCGCCGCCTGCATTACTTGCAGATTCAGTTTGCGTGTCTCCAGCCAAGCGGAAAGCCCAGCGCAAAATGCATCTTACAAAACCCAACAAAGAACGGGGAGCCAGCACGTCTTCCAGAGTTAAAAATCTAGTCTGTGTTGGTACATCTATACCATTTAGTGGCACAGAATAATCATTTTTTAAAGCCGCGATGCGCGGAGCACGCCACAGCGTCTGATGTCATTTTGCTAAATGACCCTCTATAGAATGCACATCGCAGCTTCAGTCCCTTTCAAAGAGATGAACGTAATTAAGGGGAAAAAAAAATCAGTAAATTCCTCATCGCCATAAATAATCGGACTTTCTGCCAGCAGTGGGCCAATTTAGAGCTTACTTGAGGGAAGTAATGCTTTTGTGATGCCTGTTTTTATTTTTATCTTATTTGGAGCACCAGAGCTGGGCTTCCCCCCACCCCATTTCTTTTTCATTTAATTTAGCCCCTTTGCAAGTTTACAGATAAGGTATGCAAAGAAAGTGTAGCAAGTCATTTTTTGCTATGAATATAACATTAGGATAATGTTTCAGCTCCCACAAAGAGTTTTTTTTTTTTTTCCTTCTCCCTGTGTGGACAGGTGTTCTTTTACCCACTTCTGAATGGGAGATATCCAGTCTCTTAAAACTCGGCAAAGTTAGCCGTTGTTTGCCACAATGCGAAGGCAAACTCGAAAAATTCACAAAAACACACACAATTTTGCCGAAGCTAGGAAAGGGCAAAGCAGGGATTGGGCAAAATCTCATTACATCTGCTCTAATCGCTTAGCAACACAAAGCCGGGGCTTGTGCGGCGAAGGGAAGCCATTCACTGCGCTCTGACAGGCCGCATTCAGCCAGCATTAGTCAGCTCCATAAATCACCGCTGCCCATTGGCTGCGCGGCAGGCTTTGGAGCAGCCCTGGGCTGTCAGCGAAATACAAAATGTAGACCCCAGAGGCTAGCAATCGCAACCTCTCCCCGGTCTTATCCCCTACCCCACTTTTTTTTATTAAAGGGGGGCGGATGCTGGGGAAGAAAACTGCATTAACTTTATTGACTGAGAAATCTTACCTATTCAAAAAATGGCCTGGAGACCACCGAGTTAAGAGAGGAGACGCGCCTGAAATTGAGGAGGAGTGGGGAGCGGGAGTGATGGGCAGATCTGCGGCTGGCTGCAGAGATGTTGAATGCACGTATTATCAGAGGCTGGCATAGAACTACTGGGACACACGTTTCACCTCCCTGATGCAATCTTTCCATTTTTAAATTGGGAATAGGAAGGTTATATATGGAGAAGACTATCTCACCGTTCATATCAGGTGGACCCACCAAGGAAGAGAAAAAGAAACCATTCTGCTCTGCTCAGAGCTTCCAATGAGTAGGACTGAGATGTAATAAAGGAGGAATTGGAAGTGCATCTCAGAGTTTGCTGTTCTTGAAGAGAAGTAAGACACTGAATTAACATCCAGACTTCTTGGTGCCCAAACAGCTAGAATAAACAATGTAAGGGACAAGAGGAATGCCCTGTGGAGGAAACCACAAGCTCTATGTAAATGTTCATGTGGTGCTAATGTTGTTTTTTTTTATTCTAGTTCTGTTTCTCATCTTCATGGGGACTGGCCAGGTGTATCTAAATCACAGCCCAGGCTTAATTCTTTCCCATAAACCTCATAGAATGAAATCTGGCAGTAGAAATGGATTCAAAGTAGACTTTCCTAGAAAGTCCAGGTTGCCTTCCCTCAAATGCTTTCCCAGAGGACTTCCTCCAGAAGCTTTCCCAAGGGCTCTGTCTAAAACAACTCTCCATCTCTCACAATCAGTCCCTGTCCATGACCCTGATTCTCCT